CCCGGCCCGCCCCCGCCGCGGCGGCGGGTGCCACTGTGCCGCCGGTGGCCTCGGCGGCGGCAGCGGCGGCGGGATCAGGATCAGGATCAGGATCAGGATCAGGATCAGGATGCGGGCGGGCCGCGGCGCGGCGGGCGGGGAGGCGGCGGCCGAGGAGGAGGCGGCCGATGCGGCCAAGCGCGGAGGAGCGGCGGCGACTGGACGGGCGCGGGGCCGCGGCGGGAAGGGGTCCCCGAATGGCGAGTGCCGTCGCGGGGACCCTCCGCGCAGCCCCGGCCCGGAGCCGCCTCGCGAGCCCAAGGTCTCCTTCTCCTGCGGCGGCGGCGGCGCGTCCCCCGGCGGGGCCAAGGCAGCCGAGGAGGGCGCGGGCGAGGATGCGGGCGAGGAGGTCCGCGGGAGCCAGGCCAGCTTCATGCAGCGGCAGTTCGGGGCGATGCTCCAGCCCGGCGTCAACAAGTTCTCGCTGCGGATGTTCGGCTCGCAGAAGGCGGTAGAGCGGGAGCAGGAGCGCGTCAAGTCGGCGGGGGCCTGGATCATCCATCCCTACAGCGACTTCAGGTGCGGCGGTACCCGCGGGGCTCGGCCGCATCCCGCATCCAGCATCCTGCGGGGCCGGGCATCGGGCCGGGCAGGGGAGCAGGGCCGCCGGTGCGGCCGGGCCGAGGGCACCTTGAGCCGCCACCGGGCGCGGGAGGGGCCGAGCCAGGCATCCCCCTCCCCAGCGCAGCAGCCGCCGCCCCGGGGATGCCGGGAGCACTCTCAGTGCCCGGGCAAGGGCGTCCCCTCGTCCTTCCCGGAGCCTCGGCAGGCTCGGCCCCCTTAGCCCCACCGGGCCTTGGCTCTGCCCCTGGAGCACCCTGCGGTTCGGGGTCCCCCTCCCCGGGGAAGTGCCAGTGCTGGGGGGGGTTTGTGCTGTGCCACTGCCAGGCAGAGCGTTGTGATGATTCCCCCTCCCCCATGGAGGCCTGATCCTGTCCCTGGGGTTCAGCCAGTTTGAGGGGGATTCTTCCCACTTCTGAGAGGACTTGGGTCCCCAAGATCCAGCCTGTGTGTCTTCCAGGTGAGGAATGGCAAACCCAGGAGAAAAGCTCTGCAGCTCCATCTCCTTCCTGGCCCACGAGCCCTGGGGAGCTCTGGAGTGGCAAACGTTTCCTAGTTGTGTGAAAGCTGCTGGGAGGGGGGATGGCTGGCTGCACTGTCAGGGGCAGGGAGCATCGCACCTTGCAGGGATGGAGGGGGGCTGAGACCCTGCTGGCATTACTAGTGAGCCAGCACTGGGGCTGAACCAGTTGGTTTAGTGACCTCAAAGGGGCTGGGGAAGCCTTCTTCCAGAGGCCAGTGGGGCTCAGGGGCTCAGCTCTGAGTCATTTTGACTCTGCTGGTGCTTGGTTTGGGGCGGCTCAGGGGAGGGTTCACTGGGTGCCTGGGTGGGGGATGTCCCTGAGCCAGACCTCAAATTCTGTTCTCTCCTGACACTGACGAGTCTCCACAGCATAGGGCTCCCTGAGGCAGGTGGAGGTGGCCATGGGCTCAGGGCAGGGACCAGCACTTGCATCTCCTGCTCCCGCCCTCATGTGCTGCCCTGGGCTGATCTGGCATCTTCCAGAGGAGCAGTTGGAGGCCCTTGGCCTCCCCCTGGGGCTGCCTTCTTGCACAGGGTCTTGCGCCCTTCCACATTGTGGCTACACAGTGGAGCTCCCTCCTTGTCTCACTGGCTGGGCATCGAGTTCTGCTGCAGGGCTGGGTTGAGCAGGGTCTGCACCGCCTGGTCACTGCTGGTCCTGCGGTGGAGGGAGCTCCACTGGCCCTGCTGTGACAGAGCAGAGGTGGTGGTGCCAGGTGGATCCTGGGGGACTGGGCCTGTCTGCACTGCCCATGCTCCTCCTCACCCTCAGCAGCTGTGGGCTGTTGCCTGGGCTGGGAGCAGAGTGACCCTCATGCCTGCCCCAGCCCAAAGCCTGCCCAGCTCCTCTGACCTGGCAGAGCCGCGGTGCTGGAGGCAGAGTCCACAGTGCTCCTGAGAGCAGGGTCTCCCTGCACTGAGCTTGCAGTGGGCTCAAGGCCTCAGAGGCTTCTCCAAGGTGCAGCAGCATTGTTCCCTGGACTGGTACTTGCAGCGAGCAGGCGGGTGCCAGGGTGACCTTGGAGAGTCACCCTGACTGTCCTGCCCAGCGCGGGCTCCATCCTCCTGGAGCCGCTATCAAGACTTGAAACCCATTGGGGCAGAGCGTCTGCCTGTGTTTTGATACTGGAAGTGGCGTAGGAGAGTTCCCTGCCCAGCGGGGAGGAGCTGCAGGCAGAGCCACGGCATCCTCCAGCTCCACAACCATGCTCAGGAACAGGATCAGCCCACGTGGGGCTGAGCTTGGGCGTGAGGAACCCGCTCTGCCTGTGCATGTTGGGGACGTGTCCATCCGTCCCACGTTGTCCTGCCTTAAAATAATCAAAAAGCATTTATCCAATAATGATAATGGAGCGTGACCTGGTTGTGTTTGCCCTGCAAAACCCATTACCCATCTGCATCTGTGATATCATTTCATAATCATCGTCATTTAGTGATCCTGACTTCTCATGGCAATGGCACTGCCATTGTTCACCCACAATTCAGGACACATTTGCTCCAGGAACCGAGGTTGCTATTTACATAAATATTGAATGATGAGGAAGCAGCCAGGGCGCCTGGTGAGATCCTGAGCTGCAAATCTGATAAAAGAGACCTTGTAAGTGTGTGTTGGAGCAGGGCCACATCCTTTTGGGTGCTGGGCAGTGGTCGTTGGTGGCTTTGCCAATTCTGCTCTCTGTTTTGGGAGGAACAGCCCAGCCAGTGCCAACTCCTTCATCGCTTCACCAGCCCCGAGGAGCTGCTCAGGGGCTGTGGGAGCTGTGCACAGCCAGTGATTTGGGGATGGTGGCAGTGCCCATCACCCTGTGATTGCTGAGTGGCTGTCCAGGGGCTACACTGGCATCCCCCAATGCCAGCCTGGCACCCACAGCCTTCCATGAGACTGGGTTGGGACCGAGGCTGGGGTTGAGCAGGGGGTTCTCACTGCTGGTGAATTTCTGTTGCAAGAGCTGGTCTCACAACTGAATTGGGGGCAAAGATGATTCCAGAGCACATGTCCCTGGTGCTGCTTGGCCAGAGACTTCCTCATCCAGGGTTGAATGGTTTCAGGGGCTTTCCCTCTGCCTGCATGGTGCCACTATGTGGGCTACTGAGCAGAGGGACTGGGCTTGCCAGCTGCCACTGGTCCTGATGTTCCCATTCCCACTAGTCAGGGTGTTGGGGAGCTGGACCCCTTATTCTGCAGCATCAGTGTGGGGCAGTCGGACCTGGGAGTGCTGGAAGCCATCACTCGGTCACTGGGGAGGAAAGGCTGGGACTGGCTGGGGGGATTGTGAAGTTTGGGTCCTTGAGCAGTTTGCAGTCTTTACCCCCCTCCCCAGGAACCCTCAGGGTAAAAGGCTTTTCCAAGAGAGAGCGGCACCAATCATTCATCACAACTGACTCTGCTGGGATCTGGGGGTGCAGATGATGTTGGCCACCACTGCTCTCTCAGCTCGGGCAAATTTATGCCATTGGCTTTGTAGCCCACTTCTCATAGCAACCTCATTTTTAGGATATGAGTGTTTAGTGTGAGTTTCAAAGTGCCAGTCCTGTGCTGATTGATCCTGCACTGATCCCGTGCTGCTCCTGCCCAGCAGGCAGCCTGACTGTTTGCAGCTGGGCCTCGTCAGGGCTGAAGGGCTCAGACCTCAGGGGATCCTCCTGCAGAGGGGGGTCCTGGGGAGCTCCATACTGCTGGGCAGGCTGGTGCACGTGCAACTCACTGCCGGGCTATGGGATCAGCATAGAGGGGTGTCACTGGATCGTCTCCAGCAGACCCTGGAGTTCTGTGTGCTGCCAATGGAGTTGAGCAGGGACCACCCTGGCATACCGTGGCTGTGCCCCCCTGTATGGCTTGGCCCCAACTTGTATCTTGCCCAGGACCTCAGAGCAGCACCACCGTGCCAGGCGTTGGGCGGGTGACAGAGCGGAAAGGCAGCAGCCCCCGCTCGTGGGGGCTTTGGGCACCTCCTGTCATCATCACTGTCGTACAATTGGGTCAGAAGCAAGGGAGGGATGTCAAGGATCCTGATTAATTTGTTTTCAGATATTTTTAGTAGCCTGGATTGGATCTTTTCTTCCATGCACATGAACCCTCCAAGGAAGAAAGCGTTGGCATCGCACCCCGGTCCCCGGGGCGATTGCACAGGGTCAGTTGTGTGCGGTGAGGGAATCAGGAGCAGTTTATCTTTTCTCTGCAGGCTGAATTCTGCCCTGGCTCAGCCAGATTGCAAAGGAATTGGAGCCAGAGGAGAGTTTTGCCCAGCTGGCGAGGTTATTTAATCTTTGTTCTTCGCAGCTTTGCATGGCTAATGCCCCCGTGGGACCTGCGCAGCACAGCAGGGTCAGTCTGAGTGGGAGCTGCCAGGGGTTTGGGGACAGATCCAGCCCCACAGCAACTCTGCTGACTGGCATCTCTGGCAGGTCGTGCTGTGTGTGGGAGCCTGGGGGTCTGGCCGGGCCCACCATGGCCATGGCCTCGCTGCCTGTTTGGTGCCAGCAGCTGAAGCTCGGTGTAGGGGTAGAAGGGGGGCACAGTTCCTCTGCCGAGGGTGCCCTGGGGACCGCCCTGGTGTGAAGTCATCGTTTTGCAGCAGTGACATCACTCACAGTTGCCACAGCAACACCTCACATGGGGAAGGTGTCATTGGAGAAAGGTCAGGAGCTGGGATATTCGGCTCCTGGTCCTGCGCTAGTCTGCGCAGTGGGGAGGACCCGGCCCATCACCCCTTTCTGTGTGCAGGGGGGTGTCTCCCCCTTGACCCCCCACCCCAGGGCACCGCGTGCGCGGCATGGCGATGGCACCCCCTGCCCATCATCCCACAGCTCTCAGGGACCCCTGCCTAGGTGGGCTGAGCAGACATATGTGGGTCCTGAGTGTCCCTGCACGTGCACTGAGGATCATCCCCCCCGCTCCTGCCCCCCGGACAGAGCAGGGAGGGCCGAGGTGGCCTCTACACCATCCTGCCACGACAGAGCTGCTGTGACCTTGCAGATGCTCAGAAAGGTCGTCGGTGGCCCAGGAGAGGGGGACGAGGAGAAAGGGAAGAAGAATGGGGTGAGCCGGGAGGGGGCGGAGGACCCGCGCAGCCCAGGCAGGGGCGGGGGCAGAGGCGGCCGCCCACCCACCCACCGCCCCCGCGTCTGGCCGGGGCTGCGGGCGCTGCCGCCGCCAACTGCAGCCGTACGTGCTCCGCTGCACCGGAGCCGCGGCGGCTCCTTCCATCGCAGCCGCGCTGCGGGGACTGACGGGCAGCCCCACCCTGGCACCCCCCAAATCGGGACCCCACCCTGGCCCAGGGGGGCGCGGAGTAGGGTGGCCCTGACCGTCCCTGTGGACTGACTGCTGTCCCCCCTCTGGGAGCAGAAAAGGGGGGGACTGCTCCCACCAATCTCCCGTCCTGCCTTCACCTGTGACGTAGAGTGATGCCGATGGTCTGGGGGACTCCTCAGCCCGCGGGCTTCCCCGGGGCAGCTCGGCCGGAGGGTGCCCCCCTCCAGCGTTTGGCATCATCATTCTCCTCTCCCCCCAGGACCTGCTGCCTCTGGCAGTTCAGTGGGAGCCCCCAGCCTCATCCTGCACCCCCCTCTACACCTCAGTCAGGGGCTATGCTGGCTGCAAGATCACCCCGGGGGCAGTCTGGAGAGGGGGGAGCAAGGTGTAGTCTCTGGGGAGAGGGAGGTTCCTGTGGCTGAGGTGGCATCACAGTGGCAGCACCCCAGTAGGGTGGGTCCTGGAGGGCAGGGCACTGTGGCCATGTCCCCTCGGCATGAGGGGCAGCTGTGGGGCACTGGTGACACCCCCTCCTCCATCTTCTCACTCCCCAGATTCTACTGGGACTTCACGATGCTGCTCTTCATGGTGGGCAACCTGATCATCATTCCTGTGGGCATCACCTTCTTCAAGGAGGAGACCACAGCACCCTGGATCGTGTTCAATGTGGTCTCTGACACCTTCTTCCTGATGGACCTGGTGCTGAACTTCCGGACAGGGATTGTCATTGAGGACAACACAGAAATCATCCTGGACCCCGAAAGGATCAAGAAGAAGTACCTCAAGACCTGGTTTGTGGTGGATTTTGTCTCCTCCATCCCCGTGGACTATGTTTTCCTCATTGTGGAGAAGGGCATAGACTCGGATGTCTACAAGACCGCCCGTGCCCTCCGCATCGTCCGCTTCACCAAGATCCTCAGCCTCCTGCGGCTCCTCCGCCTCTCCCGGCTCATCCGCTACATCCACCAGTGGGAGGAGGTGAGGACCTGCTCTGGGGCCTGCTGGCAGCACTAGGATGGCTGGAGAGAGCGGGAGCTGGAGGGGCCCCTGCGAGAGTGGCAGGGCTGGGGGCTGCCTGAAGAACTGACAGGGTGGAGAGGATCTGCAGGGCTCTGTGTGGTGCCAGTGGGTGGATGTGACCCTTCCTGGAAGGTTTGGGGCATCTCTGGGCCATGGTACATCACCCACCACTGGTGACAGCATGGCTGGCACAAGCTGGCACACCATCCCCTGCTCCAGCAGCAGGACCCTGTCACCCTGCTCAGCTCCATGCTCCTTGCCTTGCTCCCTGCTGGTTCCCTGCCCCTCCAGGAGCTTGGGGAGTGCCAGGGAGGGTGGCAGGACCCCTGGCCCTTGGGGTCCCCAGTGCAGGAGGCAGGGTGCACTCGGGGCCGTGTGGGCTGTGAAGGAATTGCCTTAGAGTCTAGAGGGAACGTGCTCGACTTTGCTACGTGGCTCTGGCCCAGACTCTGCACTCGATGCCCTGGAGGCTGCCCCACTCCCTCCTCAGTGCCCTGAGTATTTGTCTCTCCCTGAGTATCTGCTGGTGCTGGCTGATGCTCATCAAGGCTCGTGGCCATCACCGTTTCCTGGGCAGCAGCACGGGGGCATCCCCATCCCACCAGCTGTGAACAGGCAGATGGAGCAGAGCAGCCTCAGGGCCAGAGCTGGGCCAGTCATGGGAGCTGCTTCCATCAGAAGCCATGAGGGTCAGTGCCCTGAGCAGGGCTGGGCAGTGGGGGAGGGTCTCCACATTCACCTGCTGCCATCCCACCCACCCAGATCTTCCACATGACCTACGACCTGGCCAGTGCAGTGATGAGGATCATCAACCTCATTGGCATGATGCTGCTGCTCTGCCACTGGGACGGCTGCCTCCAGTTCCTGGTGCCCATGCTGCAGGATTTCCCCCAGAACTGCTGGGTCTCCATCAATGGGATGGTGGTGAGTACCATCCACCCCCTAATACGCTCCTGCCTGATCCCCTGGGCCCCCACCCATCCTCCTGTCATCTGGCCTCCATGTCCCGACCCCAGGAGATGCCATCCCCCCGCTGGCCATGGTTGCAGTGCCCTGTGGTTTACAGGGCACCCCACAGCATGCAAGGCACCTGGTGCCGGGTGCTGAAGTTGCTCTGGTGAGGTCTCGCAGGGTCTGGAGCAGTGGATTGATCCGGGTGGGAGGAATATGCTGACATTGGGCTCTTGGTCCTGTCCCCTGCCGCCTTCTCCTGCTCATTAACCATAAAGCTGCTATTAATAAATAATGTACCCTGTTTCTAATTGCTCCCTCTCAGCCCCACAGCCTCCTGCAAATGGCTCTTCTCCCTCTGTCTGTCTCATCCTGTTCCATCAAGTTTCCATCTCTGCTCCGTTCCCTCCCGCCTGGCTTCCTCCTCTTCCTCCCCTGCCTTCTCCTTCCCTGACTGCTTCTCCAGGGAAGTTTGAAAAGTTTGGAAAGTTTGAAAATTTGCTTTTCAACAAATGCCTGTTGCTGAGGGCTGCTGAGAGGTGCAGGCAGAGAACCAGGGCTGTGGCCTGGCAGGGGCCAGGGCGCTGTGCCCTCGGGCGCTGCTCTCACACACACACAGACACACAGACACACACACAAACACACAGACACAGACACAAACACACAAACACACACACACAGACACATGTGCAGCTGAGCACCAGCACGGGCTGAGCTGCCATCCCTGTTGCTGCAGAACGACTCCTGGAGTGAGCTGTACTCCTTTGCCCTCTTCAAGTCCATGAGCCACATGCTCTGCATCGGCTATGGGAAGCAGGCTCCCGAGAGCATGACGGACATCTGGCTGACCATGCTGAGCATGATTGTGGGGGCCACTTGCTACGCCATGTTCATCGGCCACGCCACCGCCCTCATCCAGTCACTGGACTCCTCCCGGCGCCAGTACCAGGAGAAGGTAGGACTGGGCTGAACAGGACCCACGGCTTCTGTCCTGAGCCCAGCTGGTGCATCCCTTTCTGGAGATGCAGCCAGATGGGGTGAGTGTTCCTGGTTGGGAGCAGGGATGGGGAGGTGGAGCGAGACTGGCCCCATGGAGTGGGAATGTGTGGGGGGGGTCCCAGCTAACACCACCTCTCCCCACAGTACAAACAGGTGGAGCAGTACATGTCCTTCCACAAGCTGCCCGCCGACTTCCGCCAGAAGATTCATGACTACTACGAGCATCGCTACCAGGGCAAGATGTTTGACGAGGACAGCATCCTGGGGGAGCTCAACGAGCCCCTGCGTGAGGTGAGGGCTGGAGAGCTGGGTGTGGGGGATTGCTTCCCCAAAGGGAGGGACCCCCTGCTCCCTGCCATGCGTCAGGGGGTGGTGTGGGTCCCGCTGGCTCCTGCCGTGCACATGCTTGGGGTCGAACACCTCTTGCTGCAGCTCTGCAGCTCCGAGTACATGTCCATGCAAGATGTGTGCCAGGGTGTCCGTGAGCCTGCTGGTGGTGGGGAGCGTGTCCCTGTGGAAGTGTGTCCCGGCCTCCTGTGCTCACCTGCTTCCCCACAGGAAATTGTCAACTTCAACTGCCGCAAGCTGGTGGCCTCGATGCCGCTGTTCGCCAACGCAGACCCCAACTTTGTCACGGCGATGCTCACCAAGCTGAAGTTTGAGGTGTTCCAGCCGGGTGACTACATTATCCGTGAGGGCACCATTGGCAAGAAGATGTACTTCATCCAGCATGGGGTGGTCAGCATCCTCACCAAGGGCAACAAGGAGATGAAACTCTCTGATGGCTCCTACTTCGGAGGTGAGCGCTTGCAGGACTGAGCCTGGGTACCCTCTTGGGGTCTGTGAGAGGCACTGGGGCACCTGCCCTGTGCTGGGGCATCCCCCATGTGGTGGTTCTCACCCCTTGCTCCTGGTTTGGCCCCATTTTGTTCTCGCTGGCGGTGTTCTGACCTTGACCCTGGCATTTTCCACACAGAGATCTGCCTGCTGACCCGTGGCCGGCGCACGGCCAGTGTCCGTGCAGACACCTACTGCCGCCTCTACTCACTCTCAGTGGACAACTTCAACGAGGTGCTGGAGGAATACCCCATGATGAGACGGGCCTTTGAGACTGTGGCCATTGACCGCCTTGACCGCATTGGTAGGGCACGGTGGGGTCTGGAGGGGGAGAGGGGTGTCCCAGTAGAGGGAACAGCCATGGCTTGCATGGAAACCCAGAGTAGTCCCAGTGTGGGACTCATGGTGTTCCCTCTTCCGGCCCCCTCCCTGCAGGGAAGAAGAACTCGATCCTGCTCCACAAAGTGCAGCACGACCTCAACTCAGGTGTCTTCAACAATCAGGAGAACGAGATCATCCAGGAGATCGTCAAGTACGACCGGGAGATGGTACAGCAGGCAGAGCTGCAGCAGCACACAGCTATGTACAGCCCCGTCCAGCCCCAGGTCACCTCTGCCATCGCCACCCTCCAGCAAGCTGTTGCCATGAGCTTCTGTCCGCAGATGGCAAGCCCTCTGGTGGGCTCCATGGCGCTGGGCTCACCCCGCATGATGCGCCGTTTGCAGTATGCCCAGGCCATGCCCAGCCCCTTCGCCGTCTCTCCCGTCCTGCTGCAGCAGAGCCCCCCACCGCAGCCACAGCCCCCAACGCCCCACACCAACCCCTCACCCTCGCAGGACCCGGTGCAGCCCACGGCCCTGCCCGCCTCCACCAGCGCCTTCGCCGCGGCCGCGGCCAGCCCGCCGACCCAAAGCCCGCTGGCCAGCCGGACGTTCGCCTATGGAGGTGCCCCGGGGCCGCTGGGATCCCAGCTGTCCCTCAGCCAGCAGCCAGCGCCCGGCTCGCCCCAGCGCCTGGCTGCCCACAAGAGCACACAGGCGCTGCACACCAGCAGCCTCAGCCAGGATTCGCGGCCCCTCTCGGCCTCACAGCCCTCCCTGCCCCACGGGCTGGTGGCTGGCAGCACCCAGAGCCCTCCGGCCTCTGCCCGCGAGTCCTGCACCTCCATCAGTGGGGGCCCGGCCACTGCCTCGCCGGGCCCAGGGCCCCCAGCCGGGCTGCGGGGCCAGGCACCCTCGCGGGGGGCTCCGGCCCACCCGGCACCCACGGGCCCGGGGCTCACCCCGCCACCCACCCTGCCGCAGGACTCAGCGGCGGCCCGCAAGGATTCAGCGGCCAGCACGCCCGACACGGACCCGGCCAAGTCCAGGCTGTCTTCCAACTTGTGACCTCCGCGCCAGGCACAGGGACACGTGTGAGGGAGGGGCTGCGCGGGGAGTCCCACCTCACCTCGTGTCCACCCTGTGCCGCGGGGTGAGGGCCACGGCCACCCCACCGGCTGCCGCCCCTCGCTGTGGTGCCAGCCCCCCTCCCCGGCTCCCTCCTGCCACCCGCTGCAGAGCGGGGCAGCTGCCGAGGGTGGGCATGGGGCTGCTGCACCCTGCGACACCGCGGGGTCACCGGGTGAGCCCCCGGCTGCGTCATCTCCGACCAAAGTCTGGCCCTGTCTCCCGCTCCCCGCAGCGAAGCCCCGCTGCCCCCCGGCCTCCCTGGCTGCCCATAGAAGCCACAGCTGCATCCTCGCCATGACCAACTCTGTGTATGATATCTATGACCTGAACACATCCCTGTGTGTGTGACCCACAGGACACCTCCCGGGGCTGTCGGCACAGCCCTGGCGCCACGTGTGTCCCTGTGCCCCTCCCACAGACCCAAGGCGAGGGGTGATGGTCCAGGACTGGAGGTAAGTTGCAGGGGGTCTGAGGGATGGTCGCCCTGAGGCTTGTAAGCACCCACACACTGTCCCCCACCCCGGGGCTGGGAGTGAACGCGGCCCCATGTCCTCGTAGGCAGTGCTAGATGGAGGCAGACGCTGGAGCCCAACCCCAGAGTCCTGGGGCTGGGGAAGGCACCCACTGCGTGTACCAAGCGTGTGTGTGTGTGTGTGTGTGTGT